CAAGATGTGTTTTTGCACCTAACAATCTCCTCTGCTCCTATAGGTCTGCTCTCATCTCCTCTACCAGCCCATGAAACAATGCCTGATGCTTGATACATGGGCTCCTCTGCTCCTCTAGGACTGACCTCCTCTCCTTTCCCAGCCCATGAAGCCACGCCTGAAGCTTGATACATGGGCTTCTCTTCTAGAACTGCTCTCCTCTCCTAACCCATGAAACAATACCCAAAGTTTGATACATTGGCAAAAACATTTGCACAAAGCTGATCACTAGGAATGCTCTCTTCTCAGGTGTAAATGCGGACTAAAGGGCCTCAAAACCGATATTTCCTAATAATGGCTAAAACAGGTAAGTGCACCTGCATATAGATATGTGGAACTCTTACAATAGAGGTCACTGGCAAAAGCTGGTGAGTGATTCAACCTTCCAGCATCCACTCAAATCTGATATATTAAATGTGCACAAAATTATCCTATAAAAGCTATTAAAACCAAGTGGCCTGAATGCATTTCTGTATGCAAGTTGTACATAAAGCAGGCAACATCACACCACACCACAAGAACACAAGTCTCCGATGGCTGACTCCTTTGTGGGTGATGTTGAGTTAGTTGGCTTACGCTGGAGCTTCATTGATGCTGCTTTGCAGGACTGCTTTGCTCATTGCACAATCTCCAAGCTTTTTGCATTGTCCAAGTAGTGCTTTTCTATAAAGGCTGTCTTTGGAAAAGTGTAAATATGATCCACAGTAGAATTCTCCCATTCTTATCATGCAATTCTTTAAACTGGATCACAAAAGCTATGAAAACAACTTTCAGATGCAAGATCCAAAGTGTATGTGCTGAGATGTCAATTCATAAAGAAATGTTTTTTCTTAAGTTGCATTGTTAGTTATTATCTAGTCATTTGTGTGTGATGTTAAAAAAAAAAAAGTGGTTTTCACTCACCTTCCGTTTCTTTCGGTCTAATATGACAATTATTGAATGAACAACAAAAAGTAGAACTTCCTTTTTTACTTACAGATGATCCTCTTGGCCAGCTTCCCAGTTGCTGAGCATTATGGGGAAGTGTAGCAGCCAAAAAGCTGACAAAGTATATCAGACATCTCTTTGAACTTTGTATTAGATAATGGTAGAGAAATGAGTATTTACAGTACTTAGCAAATGACAAACTCTCTCCGCATCACAGACCTCACTTCCAGCTGCCAGCACCTGACCGAGGTCACTTGACTCTGGAGATGCTCCAATCCATGTAATACTGATTGGTCACCTTATCCTTAGTGATGTTCCAGTTTACAAAAAGGTGTTCTACATATATTATTATATACATATATGTTCATGTTTATTTGCACATAGATGTATATAATATTATATACATATTTAGGGGTTGTTTGCTTTTCATCTCAAGCTGCCATTTTGCTTCCTGTGATCTCCTTTAAGGCCATTCATGGTTTAAGTGTTTTCCGTTCTTTTTCTTTTCCCGTTGCAAGTGTTCCAGCTCGGCTTCATACATCATTTCCTGCACCAGGTATTTTTCTCTCCTCATTCGGTCGCAGAGATCTTTGGGCATATCAGGGATGAGATAAGCAATGAAGGACTTAATTCCAAATACGAGGTGCTAGGAAAAATGAAAATAAATAGCAATGTAGTCAAGGTACAGTGGTTTTGCATACGATGTATATTCTTTCCTTAATTTTTATGTCCATTACTGAAAATATATCTCTTGTTATAGAGCAGTGGTTCTCACCTTCCTAATGCTGCGACCCTTTTATACAGTTCCTCATGTTGTGGTGACCCCCCAACCATAAAATTATTTTACCCAGTAATTATAATTCATGAAGTGTCGTTTTACCTACAATACTGCTGCTTTCAACACAGTAGCTGCTTTCTACACAGTGGCTGCTTTCTACACAGCAGCTGCTTTCTACATAGCAGCTGCTCTTTACACATCGGAAATATGTGTTTTCCGATGGTCTTAGGCGACCCCTGTGAAAGGGTCGTTCGACCCCCAAAGGGGTCACGACCCACAGGTTGAGAACCACTGTTATAGAGTCTTATAGAGACGATGGGGGAGATTTAATGAAGCAGGTATACTCAGAATCTCATGCACCTGTGCATGGTAACCAATCAGCTTCTAACCTCAGAGACATAACTGTGAAGAGTCCATGTTTATGCTGCTTTCTTAATAGGATTTACACTCACCAGCCACTTTATTAGGTACACCATGCTAGTTCCAAGAAAATATCCCCCACACCATTACATTACCACCACCAGCCTGGACCGTTGATATAGGCAGGATGGATCCATGATTTCATGTTGTTTAAGCCAAATTCCGACCCTATTATCTGAATTTCGCAGCTGAAATCGAGACTCATCAGACCAGGCAACATTTTTCCAATCTTCTATTGTCCAATTTTGGTAAGCCTGTGCAAATCTGTTTCCTGACAAGTGTGGCACCTGGTGTGGTCTTCTTCTGCTGCTGTAGCCCATCTGCTTCAAGGTTCAACGTGTTGTGCATTCAGAGATGGTATTCTGCATACCTTGGTTGTAACGAGTGGTTACTTTTGTTACCTTTCTATCATCTCAAACCAGTCTGCCCATTCTCCTCTGACCTCAACAAGACATTTTCGTCCACACATCTGCCGCTCACTAGATATTTTCTCTTTTTTCGTCCATTCTCTGTAAATCCTAGAGATGGTTGTGTGTGAAAATCCAGTAGATCAGCAGTTTTGTTTAAATACTCAGACCACAATAAAAATATATAAAGTGTAGTGCAATCGGTATATGGAAAATTTAATCAAACCCTGTATATCAACAAAAAAATCCCAAGAAAATCCTGTGATTCGCAATGCGTGATGAGATTCAAGCATTCAAGAGTGAAGGTGCTCTGTCCCGCCATCAGAGGAAATCGAGGCCGCTCATCTTACTGACATGACTCCTGAATCAACAGAAAGGTCATATCAAACTTTTCCCTTAGGGATCAATATACATGTGTAATCTTCACCTTCCTCCGGATGGTAGCGATGTGTCCATCAAGATATGCAATCCTAAAAGCAAGACAGCCGATCCCGGATCATAAAAGCATAGCAGCCGATCTGGAGAAAGCCGCTGGTGACGTCAAAGGCGTGGCCCCTCCTTCATCCAGTATTGCAAATCACAGGATTTCTTGGGATTCTTTTGTTGATTGTGCTTCACTTTATATATTTTTATTATTTGCAGTGTGGTATTGTGGATTGTACCTTTAGTGTTTAGCTTGCAATTGCCACATTTTAGAATTTACTTTTGGTTGCGCTGATTGTCCTTTTTTATTTAATACTCAGACCAGCTCGTATGGCACAAACAACCATGCCACATTCAACCTCACTTAAATCCCCTTTCGTCCCCATTCTGATGCTCTGTTTGAACTTCAGCAAGTCATCTTCACCGTGTCTACATGCCTAAATCAATGAGTTGCTGCCATGTGATTGGCTGATTAGCAATTTGTGTTACCAGGAAATTGAACAGGTGTACCTAATAAAGTGGCCAGTGAGTGTATATTGGTGTGCAGTACAGTCAGGTCCCATAAATATTGGGACATGGAGACAATTCTAACATTTTTGGCTCTATACACTACCACAATAGATTTGAATGAAACAAACAAGATGTTGCTTTAACTGCAGACTGTCATCTTTAATTTGAGGGTATTTACATCCAGGTGAACGGTGTAGGAATTACAACAGTTTACATACGTGCCTCCAACTTGTTAAGGGACCAAAAGTAATGGGACAGAATAATAATCATAAATCAAACTTTCACTTTTTAATACTTGGTTGCAAATCCTTTCAGTCAATTACAGCCTGAAGTCTGGAACGCATAGACATCACCAGATGCTGGGTTTCATCCTGGTGATGCTCTGCCAGGCCTCTACTGCAACTGTCTTCAGTTCCTGCTTGTTCTTGGGGCATTTACCTTCAGTTTTGTCTTCAGCAAGTGCAAACTGAATGCATGCTCAATCGGATTCAGGTCAGGTGATTGACTTGGCCATTGCAATAACATTCCACTTCTTTCCCTTAAAAAACTCTTTGGTTTCTTTTTGCAGTATGCTTTGGGTCATTGTCCATCTGCACTGTCTTGTTCGTTTCATTTCAAAAATCCATTGTGGTGGTGTGTAGAGCCATAAATGTTAGAATTTGTGTCGATGTCCCAATATTTATGGACCCTGACTGTATGTGTATCTATTTTTCATGCTGAAGCTGTTTTATATTATTGATCTTCTAACTTTCTCCCCCTGTCTAGTAAACTGCAAGTTACAGTAAAGCAGCCCATAGATTATACAGGTTTCTTTTTTTGTTCATCCAGCAGGTTGAATAAAAAAAAACTGACCCAATTCCCGCATCCACACAGTCGATGGGGGGGGGGGGGTCCTCCCCACTGTGCCTTTGTATTCTCACAGAGGGGAGACTTCAGCGCTGTCAGAATACACTGATTAGTGCTGCTGGCTATAGCCAGTAACACTGATCAAAGAGGGAAACTCTGACAGGCTGGCTGTACAGAAGTCAATCTAACCGACCCACAAGCCTGCCCATACATGGATTGAAAATTCATCTTTCTCCCTCAAGGCTTTTGTGCTGGGAAAAACCATTAGAAGTGAATCAGGCAGATAGCAGAGAGAGATCAGAAGGGAACCAGACTGCTTTGGATTCAAGATAGTAAACACTATAGTGGGATGTGCTTTGTTCATTTTTCTTGTCTGAGTTTTACAACAATGTAAATAGAAGTTGATAATTCTGGTTGTCATAATATTAAAATATTGTTGTCACATTTCTGTCTGAATAAATGAATCATGCAGTCATTAGTATGGTATAAGGCATTTAGCATTATTAAAATATTTATTATTAACTTCACTTGAAGCATATAGCTATGGAATATACACATTTATTAGTATGGAATAATACACACCTCAAAACACTATGATAAAGGGGGATAACCGTGCAGCTAGTACATGCCAGAATCTGCAGGCAGTGAACTCATAGAGGGTTGGAGCTCCAAGGAGGCGCTCGATAATCCCGGTATCTTCGTGAAAAAATATCAGCTTTTGTGTTATAAAAGCACTATCAGGGAAAGGGATTCAAAGTAACATCAATAAAAGATGTAATGTATAATGTTTTCAGAAGACAAACAACATCTGATTAATTATTGTGGTAACATAATGCAGCAAGGCTGTATATCCACTTCAGTTCCAGAAGGATTTTACCCCCTTCATGACCATGCCAATTTTTTATTCTGTCTATTCTGCGCTGTGCTACTTTAACTGCCAATTGTGCGGCCATTCAATGCTTTATACAAATTAAATTTATGTCATTTTTTATCACACAAATAGAGCTTTCTTTTCTATTTCCTGTTACAGTTGGGGCAAAAAAGTATTTTAGCCAGCCACCAATTGTCAAGTTCTCCCACTTAAAAAGATGACAGAGGCCTGTAATTTTGGCATCATAGGTAGACCTCAACTATGAGAGACAAAATGAGAAAACAAATCCAGACAATCACATTGGCTGATTTGGAAAGAATGTATTTGCAAATTATGGTGGAAAATAAGTATTTTGGTCACCTACAAACAAGCAAGATTTCTGGCTCTCACAGTACCTGTACCTTCTTCTTTAAGAGGGCTCCTCTGTCCTGCACTCATTACCTGTATCAATGGGTGGGGGGCCCTGTTTTTGAACTTTGTTATCAGTATAAAAGACACCTGTCCACAAACCTCAAAACAGTCACACTCCAAACTCCACTATGGTGAAGACAAAGAGCTGTCGAAGGTGACACCAGAAACAAAACTGTAGACCTGCACCCAGGCTGGGAAGACTGAATCTGCAATAGGCAAGCAGCTTGGTGTGAAATACAAATCAACTGTGGGAGCAATATTTAGAAAAATGGAAGACATACAAGACCACTGATAATCTCCCTCGATCTGGGGCTCCACGCAAGATCTCACCCCCCCCGTGGGGTCAAATGATCACAAGAACAGTGAGCACAAAAATCCCAGGACCACACGGGGGGACGTAATGAATGACCTGCAGAGAGCGGGACCAATGTAACAAAGGTTACCCATCAGTAACACACTACCCCCGCCAGGGACTCAGATCCTGCAGTGCCAGACGTGTCCCTCTTCTTAAGCCCAGTACATGTCCGGGCCCGTCTGAAGTTTGCTAGAGAGCATTTGGATCATCCAGAAGAGGATTGGGAGAATGTCATATGGTCAGAGGAAACCAAAATAGAACGGTTTGGTAGAAACACAACTCGTCGTGTTTGGAGGAGGTAGAATTGCTGAGTTTTGCATCCAAAGAACACCATACCTACTGTGAAGCATGGGGGTGGCAACGTCATGTTTTGGGGCTGTTTCTCCGCAAAGGGACAGAGACGACTGATCCATGTACAGGACAGAATGAATGGGGCCATGTATCGTGAGATTTTGAGTGCAAACCTCCTTCCATCAGCAAGGGCATTGAAGATGAAACGTGGCTGGGTCTTCCAACATGACAATGATCCCAAACATACCGCCCGGGGCAACAAAGGAGTGGCTTCGTAAGAAGCATTTCAAGGTCCTCGGAGTGGCCTAGCCAGTCTCCAGATCTCAAACCCCATAGAAACCTTTGGAGGGAGTTGAAAGTCCGTGTTGCCCAGCGACAGCCCCAAAACATCACTGCCATCTAGAGGAGAATCTGCATGGAGGAATGGGCCAACATACCAGCAACAGTGAGTGCCAACCTTGTGAAGACTTACAGGAAACGTCTGACCTGTGTCATGCCAACAAAGGATATATAACAAAGTATTGCGATGAACTTTTGATATTGACCAAATACTTATGTTCCACCATAATTTGCAAATACATTCTTTCCAAATCAGCCAATGTGATTGTCTGGATTTTGTTTCTCATTTTTGTCTCTCATAGTTGAGGTCTACCTATAATGCCAATTACAGGCCTCTCTCATCTTTTTAAGTGGGAGAACTTGCACAATTGGTGGCTGACTAAATCCTTTTTTGCCCCACGTATTATAACACATCCAATGAAAAAAAAAATAAAAAAATCTAATTTCTTCATAAATTTAGGCCAAAATGTATTCTGCTACATGTCTTTGGAAAAAAAAATCCAGATAAGTGTATATTAATTTAGTGTGCAGGAAAGTTATAGTGTCTTGAAACTATGGGATATACTGAATATGTGAAAATTGTTAAATCCTGATGTACTGATGGCCGATCTAATTTTTCGTGAGGCCCTTAAAATGTCAGGACAGATTAAATATCCCACAAATAACCCCTTTTTGGAAATCAAACAGTCCTGAGGTATTTAGTAAGAGGCATGGCAAGTTTTTTTAAATTGTCATTTTTTGTCATAATTTTTTGGAACAAATTTAAATACAAATTTGTTTTTTTTCACAATTTTTTTTAACATACTGTCACCAGCACAGTACGGTATGCGTCGCATCATGATATGACTGGTTGTGGTGGTGATCAGGAACACTGACAGGTGACAGCATGTAAAAAAAAAAAACAACTTTAAAATAATTTTTTTTATTAAATATTTTAAAATGTTTTTAAATTTATTTAACTTTTAAAAAAAAAAATTTTTTTAAATACTTTCATCAGAGTAGTTCAGTGTTACCATAGTAACATTGTACTACTCTTGAAGGGGGGGGTGATGAGGGATTTTTTTTTTGTTTACCCTTTGATTGTTGGTACAATGAAGATTGGGTTAAATTCATGACAGCTGTGAATACTAGTGATCTGTGATCGGTTAAAGCTAATCACATGGTAGTGTTGTGATTGGCCCAGGTACCATGTGATAGCTGTGGGCCAATCACAGCTCACTAGCAAATGAACCAAAGCTGTTATGAATCACATTGATTCATAACAGTTTTGTTGACATTGTGATCATGTAATCGCATAGCAATAACATGATCACAGGGTCCTGCGTCCCTCTGTGTCTGTACAGGCAAAATGATATACAGGTACAATGCTTTGCCTGTTCATGCTGCCCGACCGCAGTAAAAGCATTGTTGGCGGCTGGGAAATGGTTGATCAGTAATAAGTATGCTTATCCTTCTGTGTGTTTTAATTACTCAGCGCTGCAGCAAAGGTTTAAAACATCCTGTGCTAACAGCATGCTAAAGTGCATTGTGATTGGTCAAAGCAATGCACCTGACCACAGGTCAGATGCAATGCTTTGGCCAATCACAACGCATAATGATCTCATCACAGTATTTAAGAACTGTCATCCCGGTGCAGCTGTCAGACGGCGGGAGCCTCCGTCGAGAGCGAAGCGTTTTTTACATTTTCTTTTTTTGGGTCAGAGGTGGTGGCAGGCATCGGGATTGACGTTGGATCTACTTTAGGGGACATTTTTTTAATTTTTTGTTTTAAGTAAAGGACTTGTCAAAGACTGCCTACTGTCATTTTTTACACTACACTTTTTTTTGTGAATGAGTAGCGGTACCCATGTATCCCATACGCATTCACATTTTGTTATAGGGGGTTTCCAGATTCTGATAAGTCCCCTGCCCGCAAACTCCTACAACCACAGGCCACGGTTGTGAGGAGCCCCCCCAAAGCACCCCCTCATGTTGAGGGCATCTGGCCTGGTATGGTTTAGAAGGAGGAGGTGTTTGCTCGTCCCCCCCCACTTTCCTAACCTTCCGGGCTCCATAAGGGTCTGGTATGGATTTTGGGGGGGACCAAAATTTAAAAAAATTTGGCGTGGGGGTTCCTCTTAAAATTCATACCAGACCCGAAGGGTTTGGTATGGATGGGGGGGCGACACCTCACTCATATGTTTTTTTTTTAATTTTTTTAATTGCGGGGAACCCCGCTGACAGCTGAAACAATAAAGAATGTTTTAATAGCTGTGTGGTACCTTACCGCATTACTCAGATGCGGTAAGATACCGCTTAGTGAATTGTCCCCTCTGTTCGAAGTTCACAGTCAAACTTTTGCTGTGTTCGAATGTTCGACCGCAGACCGAACGGGAGGCGGGGGGGGGGGTGTTTGACACATCACTGCTGATTAACATTTTTTCACACTTGCAGGGTTTGTAAAGGCATAACACACTGGCAAATGTGCACTTTGACCTATGCTTAAAGAACAACATAGCATACGCTGGAGTGTCTTAAGGTCGCATAATGCATATGACTGACTTGAAATCTTTAGACACTCTAAAGTGTATTTCCACTTTTGCAGTCAGATTTGTTATATGTTCCTATTCCAGCATTAAAAAAAATTTAAATAATGTTCCTTACTTTCTAGATGTTTCTGAGGAAAACATGTCATGGCTGTCTGCAAGAATCTCCCAACTAGCACAGCACAATCTGTCCCAATAGCTGGGCTGGGGACTGACTGAGTCCAGTTCCCATTGACATACAATGGAGAAGTCCAGTTCCTAAACCTTTAACCTTTTGTTAAGACAGAGAGGGGTTTATTGCCTAAGCCCTGATCACACTGGATGAAAATTGGCATGTGATTTGCATGCCATGCGACTTGCAAAGCGCATGCCAAGTCGCAGCCTATTGTCCGCTATTAGAGCAGTCATATTGGTGCGGTTTCCGACTTGTCATGTGATTTTGGTCACTTGGCAAAGCGCATGCTGCACCGACTTCTAAAGCAGTACATGCACTACTTTTGATGCGATTTGCATAGACGTCAGAATGTCTTGAAAATCGCACCTGAAATCGGCATGTCATCCGACCTTGAAATCGTGCGACTTCACTGTAACTCACACAACTTCAAAAGTCGGTTTGGTGTGACCGGAATGTAACAGCTGGAGAGTGCAAAATCATGCTCCTTTCCTGCATTTAAATCATCGTCTAACTCAGCTTGTTCAATTAAGCTTTGGCAATAAAACCTGGAAGCTGATTGGTTTCTATGCAGAAGTGAGCCTGATTTTGCACTCTCCAGCTTTAGAAAATACTAAAGCTATATGCCTGCAGACAGGATTAAAGTGGTTGTAAAGGCTGAAGGTTTTTTAACTTCATGTATTCTATGCATGAAGGTTAAAAACCTTCTGTGTGCAGCAGCTCCCTCAGCCCCCTGAAAACTTTTACCTGAGCCCCATCGAGATCCAGCGATGTGCATGACAGCCTCGGCTGTCCTGGTGTCTGCCTCCTCATTGGCTGAGACAGCAAACATCATTAGCTCCCGCTGCTGTCAATCACAGCCAGTCAACCAAATGAAACTACCGCCAACAATCAATGAAGAAAGAGGGGGCGGGGGCCAAGCCACAGCTCTTGTGTGAATGGACACATGGAGCAGTGATTGCCCCCCATAGCTAAGACAGGAAACGGCATTGTCTCCCGCTGCTGTCAATCACAGCCAGTCAACCAATGAGAAGAGAGAGGGGGCGGATGCCAGGTCACAGCTCGTGTGTGAATGGACACACAGAGCAGTGAGTGCCCCCCCATAGCAAGCAGCTTGCTATGGGGGAATCCGACAGAAAAGAGGAGCCAGAAGAGCCTGCGGGGGACCCGTGAAGGGAAAATCAGGGCTGCTCTGTGCAAAAAAACCACGGCACACAGAAGGTAAGTATAACATGTTTGTTATTTTACAAAAAAAAAACCCAGAAAACGAACATTTGGTATCACTTTAATTATGGTAAACACAGCTTTCCAACACCCCTCAAAACAAAAAGAACTAAGAAGATTTTTTCCTTGCTGGAAGTTCCAGAAAAACAGGTAAAAAGATAAGCTGCAAGGTTTATAAACATTTGTTTTAGGTTTGCCATGAATTTGCATATAAGGACATGTAAACAAATACACAGATCAGCCAAAACATTATGACCACCAACAGGTAAAGTGGATAACATTGATTATCTCCTGACAAAGGCACTTGAACTTGGGTGGGATATATTAGGTATCAAGTGAACTTGTCCTTGAAGTTGATGTGTTGAAAGCAGAAAAAAAAATGGACAGGCATAAGTATTTGAGCAACTTTGACAAGAGCCAAAATGTAATGGCCAGGGCAACACCAAAAAATTAAGCTCTTGTGGTATGTTCCCAACCTACCAAAAGTGGTCCAAAGCAGGAAAAACACTCAAACGGGCAACAGGGTCATGGGGCTCATTGATGCCTGAAGGCTGACCTGTGTAGTCCAATCCAATAGAAGAGCCACTGTAGCTCAAACTGCTAAAAAAGCTAATGCTTGTTCTGATAGAAAGGTGTCAGAGCACACAGGGCATTGCAGTTTGTTGTTTGACCGCGAGCTTTGAGAACTTCGAACATTGGGGGACAATTCACTAAGCGGTATCTCATCCCATCTGAGTACGCCGTAAGATACCGCACAGCTTCTGAAAAAACTGCATGAATTACATTATTAAGTCATGCAGTATTTTAGTAGTGAAAACATTTCTTTCATGTTTCAGCTGTCACTGTCCTATTCTCACCAAGCCAACATGTTTTAAAAAAAATTAACAAATGATGTGGGGGTCCCCCACAAATCCATACCAGACCCTTATCCTAGCATGCAGCCCTGCAGGTTAGGAAAAGGGGGGGATGAGCAAGCACCCCCCCTTCTGAACCATACCAGGCCACATGCCCTCCACATGGGGGTGGGTGCTTGGTCCATGTTGATGGGGACAAGGGTCTCTTCCCCACAACCGTGGCCGGTGGTTTTGGGGGGTTCTGCGGGCAGGGGGCTTATCGGAACCTGGAAGCCCCCTTTAATAAGGGGGCCCCCCAGATCCGCCCCCATGTTAATGAGTATAAGGTACATGGTACCACAAAATAAAGTGTAGTGCAAAAAACAAAAAAAATGTCCCCCGAAGTAGATCCAATGTCAATCACGATGCCTGCCACCACCTCTGACTCAAAAAAAGAAAATTTAAAAAACGTTTCGCTCTCGAGGGTGGCTCCCACCTTCTGACAGCTCCGCCGGGATGAAAGTTCTTAAATACTGTGATGAGGTCATTATGCGTTGTGATTGGCCAAAAAAAGAAAAGAAAAACCTCTTTCTCGACACTCGCTCCTGCCGTCTGACAGGTGCAGTTCTTAAACACACTGTAATGACGTCACAAGGGGGTGGTGTCACCCCCACCCCCTTATGACATTATCTTGTGCTGTGATTGGCCAAAGCATTGCACCTGACCTGTGGTCAGGTGCATTGCTTTGGCCAATCACAATGCACTGTCAGGGCACTGCTGATGTCAAACATAAGTTCAACTCGAACATCACGCCCAACACTACTACAGAGCAGTCAGGGAACCCATGCTGACCCATGTCTACAGGGAAAAGTGCCTACAATGAGCACATGGGCATCAGAACTGGACCACAGGCAAGGGAAGAAGGAGGTCTGGTCTGATGAATCATGTTTTCTTTTACATCATGGAGATGGCTGGGTGTGTGAACACTGACCACCAGGAGAAGATGGCACCAGGATGCACAATGGGAAGAAGGCAAGTTGGTGGAGGCAGTGTGATGCTTTGTCTAGTGGAGTCCATGCCTCAATGGGTCAAGGCAAAAGGGACCTACTCAATAGGTGAGTAGTCATAATGTTATGGTTGACAGTGTATAAAGGAGCTTTTATCCTAATTTTGCTGCAACAGGGGAACTACCCTTTAAAGTACAGGATTGCAACACTGCACAACTATGGATGTCTCAAAAGACAGACCATAATTCTATTTTATACAGGCAAAATCATGTAATGTATTGTAAACAGTGTTACATACCTGCAGTAACCGGTATATCCCTCTCCAAGTTCACTTAGATCAAACACTGATAAACTGCTATTAACATAACCACTCAGACATCTGAAAGACAAGAACAGATTTGGACATTGTTATTCCTTTATCCTTTCAGCATTTACCATACTTAAGGTGGCCTTAGACTGAAATTCAGCCAGTTTAGCAGGGAACGGAAGAATTTTGATCAGTGTGTGTCCATCGACAGAAGTAGACTTTTTTCATGGACTTCTGGTGAAGGGACGTGCTGGAAAACTTCTCGATCAGTGGCTGCAGTCGCTGATCAGTGTATTCTGACAGCAGCAGGTCAAACTGTTCTGGCAGGAGGGATTTCTCCATCTACTTTGTGTGGATGGAGATTCTGGGTTTTTTTTTTCACCTGCCTATGGCCAACTTAAGGTGTTATTAAACCCTATTTTCTTAACCACTTCCCGTCCGGCCCGTAAATGGCCAGACGGAAGCAATGCAGGAGCGGGTGGCCGTTTAGAAACGGCCTCCGCATTCACTGCCTGTGCACGCTCCTTGGGAGCTGTGTGACCTGTGTGAGGTCCCTATTCATGTGATCACTGATTGGCCAATCAGTGATCACAGGAACGGTAGTAAACAAGATGTCACTTCTGACATCATTGCTTACTACGTGTGAATGATCACAGAAATCACATGGTACAAGGCTATTTACAACAGCCTTGTACCATGTGACAAGCTGTGACCAATCACAGCTTTCACAGTATTTCTCAATGGCTGCAAGAATGCAGCCAGAGAGCAGGGAAAAATGATTGCTTTTACAGCCTTCATGGGTGTAAAAGCAATCAGTGTAAAAAAAAAACAAAACTAAATCTTCATCACCCCCTAAAAGTAGTACAGTGTCACTATGATAACACTGTACTGCTAAGGTGACAGTATTTTAAAAAAAACATAAATAATAACATAAAAAAAATAAAAATCTAAAAAAATGTTTGAAAAATTATAATTTTTAGTTATAAACTAATTTGGGTTATTTTTTTTACTAAAAAGATAGATGAATACATTTTAGCCAAGATTTATGAAGAAAGATTATTTATTTGCAAAATTCTGTTAAGAGGTCTGAAGAAGGAGCCTATTGAGCATGCTCCGAAATGCATTACCTCCCCCTTCTCCTGCTACATCTGACTCTGCTCTCCAAGTTTCATTTTTGATGCACAGGCGCATCCTGGACTATACTTCCTGATCCTATAGGCATAGTTTGCTGCTGGACGGCTGGATGTCCCACCTGGATCTAATTACCACACAATGAGTCTTTTTAACCGTTTATCTTGTAAGTGCAAATTTTCCATTGTTTACTGAATAAACTGTCAATACTGCACTTAGAGGCGCCTTCCTCTCTTTTTCTTGTTACTGCATTAGAGCCTTGGTTCTACTCTAAGAGGAGCTGCCTCAGTGTTACTGCTCCCATCCATCCATCCCTGATATCCATCTGGCACCTTTATCTTACAGCTACAGAGGTTGGGCTCCAACAAGCGCGCCCTATAAAATATACATTTTCTGGCAATGCAATAGCAGACGATCCTTTGGTTCTTGCATTGCCGACTTTACTGAGCATGTATAAGGGAAAACCACTCAATTCCTATTTTTTTTCTATTCTCACTTTTCTATTCTAGCAGCTAGAATGGTAGCTAGAATAGAATGTATATATTGCACTCACATGTTTCGGTGCCAACGGCACTCAGTGGGAATAGGGAGAATCAAATACTGCTTCCTGATGTTGCGATTTTGCAAAATGCATTGAGGCCCCGCCGTTTGTCGTCCCTACTGGTCCTTTCTGTGCTTCAATTCTGGTGGTGGGTCTAGGTTGTAGAATGCATGCCAAATCAGTCTGAGTGAGCGGTGGTGCACAGTATTTGATTCTTCCTATGCCTATTGAGAGTGCCATTGGTACCGAAACATGTGAGTGCAATATATACATTTTATACTTCTTCGCATTTTAAATAAACTTGCTGCACTATAGAAACCTCTCTTTTCTTTGAGTATTTGTGCTGTTTTATTCTGCTTGCAAGAATCTGCCATGTGGAAGACTCTGAAGATATTGGTCATTTTGATATATCGGAACATGATTTGCCTTCTAATGTTTAATGTCTGGTGAGTTATTACTCTAACTGCACGTGGTCGTGGTGTACACATTTGCATTACTGGATCACCCGATTTTCGATTGAGCACATGGTGTGGATAGTTATTTTGTGTAATAACTGTATGGACTTTTCTTTTATGGACACTTTTATATTTATTTTGACACTTTGCTGATATTGATTAGTGTGTCTTATAATTATTCATGTAAGAAGTGGTCACTGTAATAGTTGATAGCGCCTTTTTCCTAGATCAATATTTATAGTGTTGTTACACTTTTAAGGCGGCTTCTCCCCATTAATAGTGTGGAATTGGAGGTGGTGCCCCTGTTTTTTGTTTGATAATAATTTTTTATGAATGCCATTCATTCATCCAGTGTGTACTAGTGGGAAGCTGTGATTGGCCACAGCTATCACTTGGTAAAGATGCACTGTGATTGGCCCTGCCTATGCCATGTGATCACTATAATCAATCACAGAGATCAATGCAATAGTGCACAATGAATGGCTATGAATGAATGCCATTCATTGTGTACAATTGTCATGTGATCTTATAAGATTGGACACAGTGTTCACATGGTACCAGCAGCAGCCCTGTACAATGATTTGCCATCTGCTGTGTCTGGTAGACACAGCAGGTGACAGATCATGCTGCAGTGTCATATGACATCCACCCAGGATGGCAGCACTCCTGCTTGGATGTCATTGTATTATAGGCCGGGCAGGAAGCAGTTAATATCACTTGAAGTGAAGTATGGAAATGGAAAAAAAAAACAAACATCTATGCACCCCCTCTATGCTGCAGCATCAGTCTGATGCTGCAACTAATCCCTGGCCTGCTCTATGCCCGAGAACTGAATGACCACATGACTGTTGCTAAATTCTCAGTCAGCTCTGAACAGGGAGTAGTGTGACTGTCATTCACCGCTCTCTGCTTTGCCCTTCCAGCACTAACTGGAGAGCCAGGCTGTGCAGGGAACAGGAGAAACTGACAGAGGCTCTCAGTTGCACGCCAGTTGCCAATCAGGCATCTGGGTGGATCCTGACAATATAGTTGGGATCCTTCCAGAGTCTGAAGCAGATCTGTGACATCAGCTGACAGCTGACTTTGGCCCACTGTTGGCGGATTCTGGGTCACAGGAGTGCACAAATAAGTGCACTTCTGAGACCACAACAGAAGTATGACCAAAAAAGCCTTGGCCATATTTCTCTTTTAAGTAGTTATTAAGAAACAAATCTTACTTTTCATGTCTGTATCCTTCATCCAAGCATGGTCCATATTTAAAAGCATAAACAAAACGCGGGATGTAATCAGATGTTATAGCAATGACAAACGCATTGGTGATGACAGCCAGAACGCCGATTCCTTCCAGAATTCCATACCAGATCCCTGCAAAGAGATAACTCATTTTACCTGTATACACTGACTGGTCAACTGCAGTTCCACACCTAACAAATATATATGAATTAAAAATTTTGATCAGAAAATGATCAGAGGATGAAGTAATAAACAAACAAATAAGTAAATAAATAAATACATTTAAATCTGAACCTCAGATTGATTACCTATCAATCTGAGGTTCAGAAATCAATAGGTAGGTACTGTATATACCTACTTATTGATTAAACACACACCATTTAATACAGGTATGTATTCACTGACAAATCATTTCATGTGTTTAAAATGTATGTAAAGGCAAAATGTTTCTTTATTTTCAGAAATGGTGAGAAAGATTTTTTTTTTTTACGCCTGTGTCACCCCTGGGAAGATTCATCCATCCATTTGAGCTGGTGACCATAGTCCATACAATGTTTGGGAAAACCTAAAAAGTTGTGATTACAGCAGGAGGTAAAGGAACATCCTCCAACAGGGAGACCTGTTTCGATAACAACTCTCTTGGATAGGAACTCTATATTCACATAAGAGAGATCTCTCTCCCATTCCAAGACAGGTAATGGAAGGAAATCTCCTCAACGGAACACAGCCAAAAAAAAAAAAAAAAAAACTATGAAAGTGTTTTTAATACTTCTATACTGTATCTAAAGCAGAAAAGAAAGGTTTTGGCTTTACATGCACTTTAAGTGAAACTCTATGTGCCTTATGGATGCATAGAGCGGGACTCAGGAGCAATCATAGAGGCTTGCTATTGGGGGCACTGGTCAAGGGGGAGGAGCCAGATGTGCTGTTGAGGGACTGGATAGGAAGAGGATTGAGGCTGCTCCATGCACCATGATATGTTTTGTTGTTAAAAAAACCTTTAAAATCACTTTAACTGCAATAGAGAAAATGGAGATCATGTCACTGCCTGAGCTGTGTAAATCCTAGGACAGGACTGGCTGGACAAAACTTACAAATAGCACAAAACCTACATCTATATTTCAGCTGTGTACAGGGGCGGACTGACCATTCGGAAACTCTGGCACTGCCCGAGGGCCCAGGTTCAGTAAGGGGCCCCATGAGAGATGCCCCTGGTACCTTTCATAGGCTTTTTTGGGTGTGGTTTGAGTGTGGGCGAGGACAAAGGGGCCCCATGATCCCCTATTGCCTGGGGCCCCATGAGTTGTCAGTCCGCCCCTGGCTGTGTATTTAGCTGCTTGCCTGGAGTTCAGCTTTAAAACACCATTCATTCATTTTAAGAACTCAAACCCTATTTATTTAATAATCTTTATATATTATTAGCTGGCCAGCCAGCTCATATATACCATATGATATAGATGCATAATTATACCAATAGTATGATGTATTCCTACAGTGGCAGAATTCTATCATTAAATGATACTTGCCTATATCAGTGGCTCGGGCTGGCATAGGTCTTCTCCACTGTGTGACAAACTTATAGGCATCCAGTCTGATTTCAATAATATTGTTTAGCAGTGCCAGAAGTGGAGCCAGTGGGAAAGCCGCAACAAAGATGGTGGTGAATCCAAACTGAATGACTGATATTAGAAAAACATTAGATAGCAGATTAGATTACCATATGATCTTTCAGATTTATTGAGCAAGTCATAACTTTTTTATTTGGTCTGGTTGCAAAGGTTCATAGTTACTTGAGTTTTGGTGGTTAATTCTGTCAAGTTTAAAGTGTACCTAAACTCAAAAACAAAAATGTAATATATTGCAGCTTAGATGTAGTTGGCTGCATTAGTTTTCCTTCTTTCAGTTTTTTTTAACTTTATTTTCATCCATTAATCATGCAAATAGCATCCTTCCTGTTCCTTAAAGGTTGCATTTAGTTTTCCCCTGTATCTATGGAAGGAGCAATGTTATCGCTAGGCTGTTCTCTTTATTTGGAGTATATACAGTCTTCATCTTTTGTCCTTATTCAATTAAATTAGCAGTTTATAGAAAATAAATAAAAAAATTAGGTTGTTTGTGGGTTTCATTTCAGCTTACGTAACGTGACAAGGACACTGCATTTTTTACAAGATCAACAGGTATTTTCTGTCTTTGCTGAAAATGTCCTAAGCTTGTAGAATGAAAATGAATGAAGCTGCTACATCTAAGGACTAGTAAGCTGCCACATTACATTTTTGTTCTTGGGTTTAAGTATCCTTTTTGTGCGGTCTGATCCAACATGTGGATAAGTGGTCTATGAAGTCTCCTTCTTTGATGCGGTGCTTTGATCTCATCTCTTACTGCACATTATATGTAAACATTCAGGTCCGATGCTACCACTAGTCAAACTAGGCAGCCATCTAGGGCACACTGCTACCTAGGCTGCAACCACGGCTGCTGGTTTCCCTACTCTCCACCATAGATGGATCTAGGTGAGTGCTGGGGTTTGGGCTAACAGGCCAGAGGAACTATACACAATGAAGGGGGTGGAGGACTAACAATCATTTGTGCTGAGTCCAGTGGTTTGTGCAGGAGGGGAATGGGGGCTATTTGTGCTGAAACAGATAATGGGAATGATGGGGGGGGGGGGATTGGTGCTAGGAGAAGAAATAGGGATATATGTGCTAGGAGTAGGTGGGAGGTTTGGGGGGGGGGGGGGTTGTGTAGGTATTTTGCTAAAGGGAGGGGGGGATTTGGTAAGGTGAAAGTATTGTGTGATGGGAAGGGTTTTAGCTAGAACAGGGATTTGGGGGAATTTGTCCTATGTGAAGGGATTGAAGGAAGGGATTGGTGCTGGGGGGGGAGGGGGGATTGAGGGGATTTGTTTTAGGAGAGGGGGTGGAGGGGCATTTGTGTTAGGAGAGGGAATTGGGGGGGGGGATTTGCACTAGGAGGGGGGATTGGGGGGCATTTGTGCTAGGAGAGGGGATCGGGGGGCGTTGTGCTTGAAGGGAGGAATGGGGGTGTTTTGTGCTGGGGGGGGGGGAATTTGTGCTAGCAGAGAGCATTGGAGGGAGGATTTGTGTTGGGGAGGATGGGGGGGGGGAATTGTGCTAAGAAGGTGGATTAGGAGGAGTTGTGCTAGGAGGGGGGATTTGGGTGGGGAGGAAGGATTTGTGCTGGGAAGGGTAATATGGAGGGGGTTGTGCTAGGAGGAGGGATGTATGCTAGGAGGAGGGATTTGGGGGAGAGGATTTGTGCTAGGAGGGATGAAGTAGAACTACAGGTGAAGTTTTATTTTTTTATATTTTTTTTTTTGGGAGGGGGGGGGGGTGCAAGTAGCTGGTCTTGCCTATGGTGCAAAATAGTCCAGCACCAGCCCTGTACACATTTGAGAGGGTTTTTCTCTTACGGATCCCGTTTTATGGGCCCCTTTCATCACTATGGGGTGAATATTTGACTTTGGCTTTTTCATAAGGGGGTGAATTCTTAGGGCTCTTTGGCCTTTGATTCATTGTACCTTCCTGATGGTGATATCCTTGATGTGATGTACATGGTGGATACCTTCCTCTTCGATGGGTGGCGTTTCTATGTTGTCTTTTCCATTATCCAGTTTGGCTACAATATTACTAAAACTAGAGAACAAAGTGGATCCTGAAGGAGCTGTTTTTGGGTGATACACGTCAATCCACTGGCTCTTCGTTCCTTTATTTTGATTGTAAGTATATATGTTCTTAGCCTATACTGTAGCTGACATGAAGTGTATGTATACAAATAAATACTCTTTTAATCTGTCTAAATAAAACATTTTTTTATGTTATATATTTGGGTTTTTGTTGAGTGACCGAGCACCTTAAAAGTCCCCACTGTTCCGTGATTCCCTCTCTTATATCCTTTAATTAAGCTTGTCACTATAAATGTATTCTGTATGTGTCAGAGAATGCATGGCCAGTTTGTAAATAAAGGAAAGCTGACATAGAAAAGCATGGAGGCTGTCTACTATGGCTGTTTTTCTAAAAATGCTAGTTGCCTGGCTGTAAACATGAAACAAAAGTCTCTTCAGAAAAAGAAAGACATAAGATATACAGTAAATGTTATTTACAAAGTCAATCATTTTTTCCTGTATTTTACAATAGCAAACATGTCATAAGAATAAAGCTGGCTAAAAAGGACACTTAAGAGTCTATATAAGAAATATTCACTGTTCGACGTGACAAACATCTGCAAGGTTAGAACAAAAACTCACAGTATTTTGTGCAGTTTCGATATCACCAGCACCATCTACTTGCAATAATATGTTTTTGGTTTTGTTTATTAAGGATTCTCAGGAAAAATAAATACATTATGGCCATTACATGGTGCTGCTGATATAGGTACTACATTTATTAGAAAAATAAAAAATATGGTGAGTTTTCCCTCTGACTCGTTCATCATACAACAAACGTTTTATACATAGACCCCTTAAATTATATCTAAATCCAAAAACAAAAATTTATACATTTTAGCTTAGCAGTCTTTAGAAGTGATGGTTGCATTCGTTTTCTTTTTTTTGTTTATTTTTATCTAGTTATCCTGCCAATAACATACTTTTTGTCTTAGAATAAAAACGCTCACTCACCGTACGGTGTATATTGAGGATTAGAATTGTCACCGTAGTACAGGAAGTGTTTTAAGGACTATAGAACGCTGTTTTTTCTTCATATCTGTATCATGGGGGAGGTGTTCTGTAATCCTACAATAGCCCTGGGTAACATTTTTTAGATAACACCAGAGACTGCAGTACAAATGACAGCTCTGGATTTCTGGCAGGATCAGCAAGTACAATTTTGCATTTACTGAACAGATATAACAAAGCACTTTCAATGGTAAATTTAGCAGACTAAAAGGGAGAAAATAAAATAGGCTATACAGTATGCAATTTTATTTCCTTCAACCATGGGTTGAAAAAAAAACAGCACAATTACTTGATTCCCCCAGCAACACAGTCAATATTAATGGGGGAATTCCTCCCACAGAACTATTGAGCTCTTCCAGCAGGCAGCCTTTTCCCATTTGCAGAATACAATGATCACTGCCGGTGGCTATAGCCACCGGCAGTGATCGGGCAGAAAAAATCCGATAGGCTGGGTGTACTGAAGTCATTCGATGGATCGACTTCAGTACAACCAGCCTGCCGATAGATGGAGCAAAATTCTGCCAGTTCCTGCTAATCCGGACAAGATTCCATCCATCTATGGCCAGCTTAGGAGAAGTTTACTGTTGGGGTATACATGCAGTTAAGTTACTTATCTATATGTGTTGGGTGTGTGTTTATTTACATTGAATTTACCCATTTCTAAGTACTCCTCCATAAGCCCATGAGCATTCATTGGCTGTAGGTTCCAGTCTTTTTCCCACTGTGGTAAAGTTATTTTGTGCTCTACGGCATGTCCACCTTTCTTCATTTTCCTCCGTGACCACCAGTTCTGTAGTAATCTGTTACAAAAAATAAATCATAAAAAATATATTAGTTTAGATTTAAGTAATCAATGTCAGAGGGAACAAAGAAAAGACATAAAGGGGGAACCACATCCCAGCAATGTATAAAGATACCTAATATTGGTCAATGGACATTTGAGCTACCCAAGGACTATAGCTAAAACACTGTATAACAACAAATTGTTGTTTTATTCACATATATCACATAAAATCAGCACATGTACATTAAAAAATGCTCAAATACACAGCAAAACATCCTTGAAGAGGATCTACACTGTAAATCAGTGGTTCTCAACTTCCTAATGCCGCGGCCCCTTAATACAGTTCCTCATGTTGTGGTGACCCCCAACCATAAAATTATTTACTCTTTACACATTGGAAATGTGTTGTTCGATGGTCTTAGGTGACCCCTGTGAAAGGGTCGTTCGACCCCCAAAGGGGTCACGGACCCACAGGTTGAGAACCACTGCTGTAAATGAACACCACAAAACAAAAAAACGCTATTTAAACAATTTTTAGTATTCAAAGCAAACTCCCCCATCTGTCCATGTTTCCATGTTTTGTTTTTTTTTACTGAGAATTCACTTTGAAAAACACTCCCTAGCATTTCTGGCTGTGGCCATCTTGAGTAAGGGAAGATGATTCATGTAGCATTTACTTCCTGGAATCCATCTGCCCTTAGGCACACAGGCAGGAGGGTGTGCTTAGCTGACAAAAACCCTTCCTTCCTGCAGACTCCTGGAATACATGACATAATTTGCCTAGGCATAGAAACTGAAGGAACTGAAGAAAAATTGTTAAAAAAAAGTTTAAAACAAATAAATATAATATACCTTCCTATCAATTTACTAATGCAGCATAAGGATTCAAAATAGTCAATGATGATTGAGAGAGTGAAGTTTCACTTTAATGGTGATGTACAGTATCCCCATAGTCAGTATCTTACATCATTTTAACTCAAACATGAGGCTCAAAAAACCCAAATGTTATCAATCCTGGTCTTGAACCTGTTAATCGGTTACCCAATTTTCGGCTATATTTTTTTGGGTGGACACATGGGTCCACAGGCTAGAGTTCCCCCCCTGGGGTGAATAAGAGAAATATTTGGCACACTAAGAAGAAAAAAAAAACAGATGTATACTGTGATGACTAGTATATTAACCACACAAGTAAAGTCCTTAAAGTCCAAAGGTGGTTAAGGGATATTCCAACAATGCTTGACTCAGTGGCAGCCGATTTAAAAGGAGCTAGAAGAGACTCTGTATGAACCATAAAAGAGAGAGAAGCAGCACCATCTAAGTGCAGCAATATAAGCAAATAATTAATTTCACAAAAATTGGGAACTCACAATAGTAGTAGTCAAATAAGCGCTTGTCAAACTGGTGTCAACTGCTGTGCAACTCCTGGCTAGTCCCGCTGCATTGAAGTCTCCAAAGCACTGTACTTGGCTGTGCTGATGGTTCCCAGTACCCTTTCAGCAATGAGGATCCACACCAACTAGGAAGTACTGGGAACCACCAGCACAGCCAGAGACAGAGCTTTGGAGACTTGCCTGCAGTGGGACCAGCCAAGAGTTGCACAGCAGCTGTCACCAGTTTGACAAGTGCTCATTTCCTACTACTACCATTGTGAGTTGCCAATTTTGTGGAATAAATTATTTTCTTATATTGGTGTACTTAGATGGTGCTGCTTCTCTCTCTTTTATGGCTCCCCCTGGGGGTGAATGCAAAGGCACATCAAAGGAACAATTGTAATTTCACAGAAGGATCTCATAGGGCACTATAGCAACATAGTACATATATCGCAGTTCAGTTATGGACATGGCTCTGAAATGGCTCCAGCTAATGCATGGTTGCTTTGTGTCCATCTCCAATCATCTCAGGTTTCTGTTCACCACCATGATGTGAAATGAATGTGTTCCCTTTTAGAAATCAAGGCGGTCACCCAAAGCTCCTCGAGAGTCCAAAAATCTACTTAGAACAAGAAAACACTTCCTCGAGGCAGATCACCTGAATAACTACTTAAGGCAGTGTACCAATTTTCCTCCAGGGGCAGGACACCAGGGGAAGGGGGTTGAAGGAATATGTTAGCGCAACATTTCATATTACTGATATGTGTCTACTTGTGAAACATGTAGAGGAAAACTGGGGATCCCCTTGATAGGTTAAACACAAGACCAGATTGATAATACTGGGGGCTTTTGAGCCTCCTGTTTGAGTTAAAAATGATGTAAGATACTGACTGCGGGGATACATTTTTAAGGGGGTGTGCTATGAATAGTTTGTGAAGTATATATGTTTATTTTATGTTAATATAAGTGAATAAGAGAAATAATTGTTGTTACAAAGTGTTTTAGCTTTAGTCCTTGGGTATCTGAAAAGTCCACTGATCAATATTAGATATCAAAAAATTAATTTAGATATGTTTTTTGTTAAATGGGTTTCTTATATATTACAGTGATGATCATTGACAAACTATAGCCTCCCTATAGAAATATAGTTAGCAGACTATAACTAGCTGCAAAAGTCCACTCTACATTTCTCCAACACTCCATCCTAAAGAGTTTCTCCATCTATGGAATTCTACTTCTACTTAAGTTGTAGCTTAAACATACACAAGTTGTACCTTCACAACCATCTTCATATTTTGTTTGTCAAAGTAATTTCAAAAACACTAGTGGCAACTTATCAAAGAAATGGATGTCAAGAGGCCAAAAGAACCTGTTTCCAGAAGACAATCAGGCAGTAAAACATATCTGTATTAAGTATGAGGGTTTGGCTTCAGCATGGAAGTACAGAGGTACACTTGTGGCTTCTCTATCCTGGAAAAAGGCAAGTCATAAAGTGGTGGCCAGGAAACGCACACTCACTCTTCCTGGCAATAGACAGAATTCTATCATTTCTGTCACAGGCACTTCCTTTGGAGCCTTATTTCAATATTAAAGCTGCCACAGCTTAGATAGCAGGTAGGCTTTGTTCAAGATCATCACCCATCAGTTGACCATCTTAAAACCATACACTAAAATATTAATAAACTGGATTAGGAAACTGAAAATATACTTACGGATATCCTAATTCCATGAAGTTATTCCACATTTGTTTCAGAACCATGATAACACCCATTTGTAAACAGAGGTCTATAAGGCATCCACTTGGATGACACTAAGGAGAAATATGAAAAATGTACCGTTATCAATGTGGACCTGATTATACCAAAAGAAATCTGGCAACTGGTGTACCCAAGCTGGGTGAAGGATGAGGGTTATCTCCATGCTTCCTCCAGCTGGGGCAGACTTAATTGTCAACTTTTTTTTCTGCAGTCATGTTTTTGTGTTTCTATGTTATGGAAAAAACATTTGGGATCTGGTAAACTGCGTTGGCTGTTATGATAATCTTAATGGAGATTGTACAATCAAATAGTACTTTTTTGTAGTGCTTAAGTAGATTGTACAGTTAAATTGTAACAGATATGGTCAGCTGTATACTCATTGATTAGCAACTTTTAATAGAAATTTCTGTGTCCTTTACTGCATTGAGAGAAGGGCTACCAATGATACCAGGATATTTACAGTTTCAAATACCACCTTCACCAAAGCCAATGTCTTATTTGGGTGGAGTTCATCATTAAAGAAATTAAATACATCAGGAAATCTCTGCTTTGTGTCATGCATTTTGGAAAACTAATTCAATTTACTCAGATAAATCAGATAAATTAATCAGATAGAGGTGTACTATGCACCTACTAGGGACTGCTGTAAACCACTTCAAATGTAGTTGAGAATTTTGTGTAGCTCAGGAGCCACTGATGATGATCACTGTCTTTCCTCATAGATCAAATATTTAAAAAACGTGGAAAACATTTTGTTTCAGTTTAGTGGTTTGTTTTACCTCTTCCAGCCTCCATCTTTGAAAGAGTCTGTTATATTTGCCAGGCCTCCCTGCAAACCTGTAAAAAAAATACAGATTTATTTTTACTGAAATGCTCGTTTACAGATTCCTGCTCCATACAATACTTCTCTAATGTTCACCTCCCTGAATACATTGATGGATCTGATCTCTGTAACTTCCTGAACATCCAATCTGGTTACCTGTCATTAAAATAACTAGATCTATTTAGAGGTTATTGTGTATGGATCACCTATAGTGTTAAAGAGAACCTGTCACCTTGCTTAATCAGGGTAAAGTGCCAGCTTTTCTTGAAAGCCCACCACTCCACCCAGTGATACTCACTTTTCTTGTGTTCCCTTTGATGCTCCATTGGAGCCCTCGGAAATTACCAGCCTTTTCAAGTATGCGAGAACATAAAGCCTTCTCCCCTTTCTCCAAAGATGTGCAGTAACCACGTCTAAGCAGCTAATTGCCATGTCTGAAGAATTGGGGGAGAGGAGCAGGTCATTAACCCTGTGTAAGCTTTGGCTCTGACTGATAGGAACTTACACAAATCTTAGACCCACAACTCTGATTTACACCCCAGTCACATCTAAGTCGATTTTGAACTCGTGCGATTTACAGTGAAGTTGCACGCTTTCAAAATTGGGTGACCTGCCGATTTCATTGCGATTTGCAAGACATCTGACACAGATGTCTATGCAAATCGCAACAAAAGTAGTGCATGAACTCCTTTAGAAATCGGTGCGGCTCCGTCCAAGTCAGAACTGCACCAATATCACAGCTCTAATAGTGAACAATAGGGTGCAACTTGGCATACGATTTTCAAGTCGCATAACATGCAAATCGCATGCCAATTCGCACTTGATGTGACCGGGGGCTTAGGAATGGAGCAGTGAGCAGTGGAGCATTTTAAATTCTTCAATTTTTCAACAGTTCCAACATGACTTTGTAACTACTTAAGATTACAACATGTTATATGATTACAATTTGTTCCTAAAGTGTATGTGATACACACTGCTATAAATGTCTAATGCAGCATGTTGAAGCCAACACCAGATGGCAAAGTCCTGCAGAACAGTGGCAGCCACATGTTGAAGAACAGTCATATGGAACTTGTATGCTGAATTGTAGGACTTTACTAAAGAACAGTGCATCTGGAAACTACATTTCCCAAAAGGAGCTTTTGTGTGTGGGTAGAGGCATATATATCTTAAAGCCTAGGACACTGAGCTGGAAGTGAGAGGGGAGAGATCGAGAGAGGAGCAATTGTGCTGACGGCCGGAGTATTGGACCAGGCTACGGAGCCAGAGTCAGAGAGGGAGGAGGAGCAGAAAGTCTGCTGATCATAAGTCTTGCCATGCTGCCCAGTGAGCAAATCTGTAAGCAATCCAGTTGGGACAACGAACCAGGACTGGAGAGTCTGTGGGGGCCCCCATCTGCAGAGAAAGACCACCGATAAGACCTGGCGGACACCATTGAACAGATGAGAGAGTCCCATACAAAAACTAAGTGAACGCTGATAATTTCATCACATCTGCTATCTAACTGCACATAGTTGCGGACATTACACATAGTTACCCCAGTTGTCGGTCTAGTTCTTCCAGCCGCCATTGTTGGAACACATTTGCATTACAGTCTCATCATCCAAGCTGACCACAGGACAAACAGATGTGCCAACTGAAACAACAATTTACCCTTCCCAGCTGAACGGGATTTCTACTACTATTGCTGTTGGCCCTTGTCACTCAGAGAGAGTTGCTCTTGCCCACAGACACTTATACCGACTGTTACACTTCACTACTTCAAATCTGTCCTTGTTTAGTGCCTTAAAGGGACCTTACATCAGTTCACTACCATTAAGAGGAGAAGTACTTGGTAGCTATCATCTACACTAGGGGTGTCAAACTGGTGGCCCTCCATCTGTTGGCGAAACTACAACTCCCATCATGCCTTTACTTTTGGGAGTCATGCTTGTAACTGTCAATCTTGCAATGCCTTATGGGACTTGTAGTTTGGCAACAGCTGGAGGGCTGCCAGTTTGACACCTGTGATCTACACCTTAGATCACCTTCACACCAACTGGGTCCCAACTAGCATGAAGAAGACTCCATATTGTTCTTAAAGGGACATTGGTTGATTATAGACAAGAGCTCTCTCCATTTTCAAATCTAATCCTTGCCATCAGGTTCTGAGAAGCTGGAGCGAGCTTACCTGTTTTATTGATAGTTCTCACTTGCTGGGGATTCAACAGTCACCTCAGATTGGAGGCAGTTGATTATTTCAGAAAGCAGGCCTGCTAACAGTTATTGGTACTTTCCTGTGGATGCTGTTACTTTTACTTAACATCAACAAGAGTGATTATATTTGTTACAAATGCCAATGTTATTTTGTGCTGTTTGATCAAACTACGTTCAAATTCAATATAAACCTCATATTGATTTACACAAACTTGTGTGTGAGTCCATTTTACAGTGGTGATTTATTCTGGTCACAAAAGTATGGTGGTGTCAGCAGAGGTTGGGCTTTCAGAAAGAGGTCCAGATTGACAGGAATCCTGAAAATTACTAAGGGATACCTAAGGGGGTAGTACTTCGTATGTAATCCGTAATAATGAAATTATCTTATTTGCTTCCTTTTTGTCTGTAAATATACCATTTAACCACTTTCTACCCATTAACGTCCTTGAGTTTCAGTGGTTATACCGGGATGATGCCTGCAGGTACAGGCATTCAGAATTTGCAGCTTGCGATTTTGCTGTAGGCAGAAACGATCACTTCTGCAGGCAGAGAAAGAGGAACTGACATTGTTCCTCCCTCTCTGTGGCCCCAGAAATCAGAAGCGACGAGGATTTTGTCACATCTGGTTTCAGCTCTTTGTTTACCTGGCCATTAGCGGCCAGGAAAGTAGCTGATCAGACCGATCCATGTGCATTGAAGGCCAGAGGAGAGATTTGGAGTCTAATAGACCCATGGGGGTTTATTTACTAAAGCTAGAGAGTCCAAAATCAGACTCCCTTCTGCATAGAAACCAATCAGCTTCTAACCTCAGCTTGTTCAATGAAGCTTTGGCAATGAAACTTGTAAGCTGATTGGTTTCTATGCAGAAGGGAGTCTGATTTTGGACTCTCCAGCTTTAGTAAATAAACCCCATGCTGTCACAAGGGATGTTGTTCATCCCTTATGAGAACAATAAAGTTCATTTAAAAAAATGAAAGAGACAGTGTAAAAAAAAGTTTTAGATAAAATAAATAATAATAATGAAAAAATGTAAGCACCCCTGTGTTTAAGAGAAAATGTAAATGCATACATGAGTCCCACACGCATATGTAAACAATGATTGCACAACACTTGCAAGGTATCACCACGAACATCAGATCGAAAGCAATAACCTGAGTACCAGGCCTCCTGTGTAACTCTAATAAACTGGTAACCTGTAAAGGCGTTTAAAATGTCGCCTATGGAGAATTTTAAGTACTGTAGTTTGGCGCCCTTCCATGGGTGTATGCCATTTTAAAGCATGACATGTTAGGTATCTATTTACTTGGTGTAACATCATCTTTTGTATTTTCCAAAAAAGTTGGGTATTTTATTATATTTATGTGCAATAAAATTCATTAAAGTGTATTTAAAAAAAAAAATAGCGTTTGAAAAACTGCTGCGCAAGTACCGTGTGACCTGAAAAAAAAATTGCAACACCCATCATTTTATTCTATAGGGCCTCTGCTATAAATATATAAATTGTTTGGGGGTTCTAAATAATTAAGCAAAAAAATATAGATTTTTACATGTTTGTGAGAAGTGTCAGACTTGGCCCTAGTATGTGTATATATGGATGTAAGTTAAGGACTTTAGATTGTTAACCCCTTGAGGGTTAGGGACTGATGTGAATGTACAATCCATGGCTTGGCCCTCCAAAAACGCAGCATTTCAAACTTACAAAATGTACCAATACCAACTGCTAAGGACTGACACTGTAAATACACTAGTTCGCATTTGAGAAATTCCTGACATTTCGACAAAGCACTAGATATTCTGACCCTGTGATCAGGTAAAGCCCACAGACTGTATGAACATTTCTACTGAAAAAACTTGCAGAACTGATCAAGTTTAAGAACACTGTGGGAAATCCCAGTCTTGTTTTTGACCCCCAGGGGCAGGAACAGGTCAAACACAAAACACCACGTGCATTGAAACTTGCTTTTGTATTATAACAGAAGTCAATTGTCCTTCTCTATATATTTGAAATCCACCTCTGCATATGTGAAATCTGGTTAAATATATTAGTATTTAACTTCTCTGTCCCAGCAAGTTAAGTAGGTTAATACCAGATTAAAACAAATGAAAGTCAATGGGTCATTCTGTCGTTAATGCGAGAATCCACCAATCATGCAAATAGCGTTTTGTGCCAAGACACTCCCAAATAGTTCCTTCTGCGTGTTCTACATTCTTTTATAGCTTTACAACAAGATTCCCCACACTCATCAGTTACTTAGATTTATTCTGATATAAAAATCAAAAAAATAAAAACAAAACAAAAGAAAAACATCAGCCAGAAACACAATCAGGTTTACTTAGTAAAGTAGAGAATAACACAGGTATGTATGTATGTAATCCATCTTTCACCTGACTCCCTTGCTGGCTCTTCCATGTTTATGGGCTGGTTTTCCCCCACTGCCAGGACGTCCTGCCTGGGATTTGTCAGACTCCCATGAATATGAGGACCCAGGTCTCCACCCCTCCGCCCACTAGTTTCTGTAAGCTTCCATAAACCTCCAGAACCAGGGGGAGGCAATTGAGGCCCAACCTGCTGAGTCATCCAGCCTAACCTGGGCTTGACCCCTACTCAGACATGCTCACTACACCTACTGAATGAGCTATTACATTTTCCTAACTCTCTAGCACCACTGGAAGGTGCAACATGTACAAAATGACTTAACCCAGGACAAACAATAAGATATCATCTGTAAAGGTGTCTGACTTGATTTGCCTAAAGCTGAATGGTTGCTGCAAATTTCATTACCAATTTAGTCAATAACCTCAAAAGTATTATATACTT